ACTTTAAATGCGTTTTTCTCGCGAATGCTTGAGAAGCGCGTCGTAATATTTTACGACGAATTAGTGGGAGGGTAGACCTACAATGTATATAAATTGCAGCCGAATCGGAGGGGACAATGTCTGGTGCTCCCCTTGTAAGTACTAGAACACATAGGCAGTACGCAGCTTTCATTCTTCCCAGGAAGTATAAAGATTTCGATTTTGACACTGCTGTTAAAAAACTTACGCATTTATTTAGCAGTAAAATATCGCTTTTCAATCAGCGTTATAATTGCTTAAATATGTCAAAGTCGCCTCAGTTAAATTATTTGGCTCATGCAGCTCTTGTCAATCAGCGTTGTGAAGAATCAAAGATATCTTCAATTTCGGCAGATCAAATCAAATGCCTTATTTTTGTATGTAGTTTACGTTCCTCTGCTGATGCGGACGTTCGTACCAAATTGTTACATTTGGTTGATACTAAGTCGGAAACTCTCACTTTAGAGAACTTACAAGGGGAGACTACGACGATGGAACAATCGATTTGGACGAACCTTATAGGATCGATAGATGATTATGTGGAGTATTGCAGGGTAAAGTAATAAGACGCGCTACTCAAACATTCGCGAGAAAATCGAATTTGAAAATTTTGATGTACCTTATGAAGATATTAAATACGTTGTTTAATCGAAGAGCGCGTAGCGTAGCGGCAGTGTACTAGATTAGTAGTGTCGACGCTGCTGGTTCGAGTCTCGATAATTTTTTTTTTTTTTTTTTTTTTTTCAAATGTTACAATATAATCTAAATGTAAGTATTACGTTTTTTATTTATTTATTGCATGTTATAAAAGTGCATTTTTTGCATAAAAAATCCGTGATGTAAAAAATACGATAAAAATAATTAGATTGTTACTAATTTGTAAAAAACAGATAAATAATTGTACGCAACATGTAAAAATATATGCAACATGTTTTAAAGCACACACATTTTTTTGTAATATTTGTTGAACATTATACCTTTGAAAGAAAATATTATATCCTTGAAAAGTAGAAAACAGACAATAAGTAAACACGAGAAAATTTCCGTTACATTGTGAGAAACAAGATTTCATCCATTTGACTGGTAACAGCGAGAGTAGACAAAAAAGAAAAAAAGTGTGCAGTGCTAATTAAATTGGAAGATACTTTTGTTAACCTGAAACAAGATTCTTCTTTAGTAGGAGATCATAAAGCAAATATGAGTACTGTAGCGCTTGTGCAATCTAAAAGCTTGCAAAAAAAGAAGAAATTTAAAAACAATCAAAGTGATCGCAGCATTTTTGCTCAGAATAAATTATCTAATAAGAAACCGTCAACTCCGTGGTGGTTTTGTGGTAATTTGCATTATTCTAAAGATTGTACTTACAAGTCTCATAAATGTCAGAAATGTAAAACCGTCGGTTACAAGGATGGTTATTGCGCTTCTAGCAAAAAAGTTAAAAGTAAGTCAAGCAAATAAACCTCGGAATCCAGTGTCAAGACTATTCATTCATTTGACCTGTTAATCAGGTCAAATGTGTATCGAGTCGCAAATATGTTGATGTTCACATTAACTCACTTCCAGTAACCCTTCAGCTAAACACGGGTTCAGACCTGACGATCATTTGTTCTCAAACATGGTCCGCTCTCGGGAAGCCAACGGGGATAGTTACCTCTCACATTGCTCGAGATGCGTCTAGTAACTCAATTCTTTTTTATCAAGAGTTTAGCTGTTTTGTTTCATTCAAGGAAATCACCAAGCGGCTTCGGTGTTTCGTCTCTTCAAATCCGGAATTGAATGTAATGGGATTAGACTGGATCACTGCTTTTAACCTGTGGAATCAATCATTTAATGATTTTTGTCACTTAACCAAGAGCGAAGATACACAGTTTGATATAAATAAATACCAACATAAATTTCAAGACGTGTTTGCTAGCGGTTTGGGTCGTTGCATCAAAACCAAGGTCAAGCTGCATTTAAAATCTGATGCAAAACCGGTTTTCAAGCCTAAACGTCCGGTTGCTTTTGCTATTTTGCCGCAAGTGGATGCTGAAGTGGATCGTCTTGAACAAAACGGGATTATCTCTCCAATCAAGTATTCGGAGTGAGCAACTCCTATTGTTGTAGTTCGTAAAAAAAACGGATTGATCAGAATTTGTGCCGATTTCTCAACGGGTCTCAACGAATCTCTGGAAACTAATCGTCATCCTTTGCCGCTGCCGGACGAAATATTTGCTCAGCTCGCAAACTATAAATATTTCACTCATTTAGATTTGTCAGATGCATTTCTACAAGTGGAAATTGATGACGATTCGAAAAAATTATTTACCATTAATACGCATCGTGGACTTTATGTTTACAATCGCATGCCTTTCGGAGTTACAGTGGCTCCTGGCGAGTTTCAGGCAATCATGGACTCGTTGATCTCTGGCTTGTCAAATACTTTCGCCTATATTGACGATTTGGTAGTTGGAGGAGAAACAGTTCTGGAACATAATCGGAACTTGACTCGTCTCTTGGAGCGAATACAAGAGTACGGTTTTCGTTTGCGTTTAGAAAAATGTAATTTCTTCATAAACAAAATCACTTATCTTGGATACGTCATAGATGGTCAAGGATTGCATCCAGATCCCAAGAAGATTTCAGCAATTATTGACATGCCTGCTCCGCGAAACTTAACTGCGTTACGTTCTTTTTTGGGCGCAATACATTATTATTCTCGTTACATTTCCAACATGCACATATTGCGTCGACCTTTGGATCATTTGCTTAAGAAAGACGTACCATGGGAATGGTCACCTCGGTGTCAGAAGTCTTTTGTTCAATTCAAAAGGATTTTAACGTCCAAACTGTTGCTCACGCATTATAATCCCAGACATGAGATAATTGTGGCAACAGATGCCTCAAACGAAGGATTAGGAGCTTGCATTCTTTATCATTTTTTGGATTTCTTTTTTTAATGATAGGATCGTAGTGCCACTATGTTTTCGTTCTCAAATTTTAAAGGACATTCATAAAGGTCATCCTGGAATTGAGCGGATGAAGAATTTGGCAAGATCTTACGTTTATTGGCCCAAGATCGATTCTGAAATTGAGAAATTTGTCAAGGGATGCAGAAACTGTGCTCTCTCTTCAAAACCTCCTGTTAAGGTTCCACTTTCAAGCTGGGCCCAACCAACGAAACCTTGGCAGAGAGTGCACGTAGATTTTGCAGGACCTTTTAACGGAGAATATTTCTGTGTTCTTGTTGACGCTTTTTCAAAATGGCCAGAGGTTATTCCTACTCAATCAATCTCTGCCCAGCGTACTATAGATATCCTCCAGGATATCTTCGCTCGTTTCGGCATTCCTGAAACAATTGTATCTGATAATGGTACTCAATTTGTATCAGAAAAATTTGAAACATTTTGTTTAATTAATGGAATAAAACATTTGCGTAATCCTCTTTTCCATCCCAGCTCAAATGGTCAGGCTGAACGTTTTGTGGATACATTCAAGCGTGGACTTACCAAGCTACAAGCTGGAGGGAAGACATCGACGGATTTTCTACCGGCCTTCCTTCAGTGTTATAGATCTACGCCAAATCCAAATGTTCCAAAGAAGTTATCTCCTGTGGAAGCTCTGTTTGGAAATCCAATCCGTACCACTTTGGATTTATTAAGCTTTCTTCTCTTCCAAGTTTCAAGACGGAAAATCAACTGAAAAGAGAAGCTTATTACAATCAAAAGCACGGGGCTAGGTACAAGGAATTTACACCCGGAACACAAGTCTACGTCCAGATACACACCTTGAACAAATGGTCTTGGGTACCTGGAGAGATTTATCGAGCGAGTCGGCAAGGTCATGTACAACGTCCTTGTCCAGACTCGCAGACGACTGGTCCATGCTCATGCAAATCAACTAAAACTGAAATTTGACTATGAAGACAACAAAGAACATCCTGCGGAAATCAACGTTTTCGATCTTCTTGATTCTTCGTGTAAAACACCTCAGGAACCTGTATCACCATCACTTCAAGAAGCACCGTCATCTCTTCTTTCACAACGGAAAGAACTGTCTTCACTACAAGAAGTAACGTCACCGCAGCAAGTGTTTCTTCCGCCTAAATAGCAAGTGGTTTCTCAGCCACAAACTTCGCGAAAATATAGAGCACCTGCAACGTCTGAACCTCTTTCCACAACTCCTACGGAGCCAATCCGGCGTTCGCTGTGCTCCAAACGAAGTCCAGCGAAGTTCAAGGACTTTCTTCGTCGATAATCTTTTAAAAGAGGGAGATGTTGCATATCGATATAATGTATCAATATACGACACATTATGAATCGATATAAACCACAACAGTTTGCATAGTAACGGCTATCGGTGACATTTTCATACAAACAAACATTCTTTTGATTGAGACGATTTTCATTCTTTTATTCATTTATTCATTCTTCCATGTAAACTCATGTAACTCAAGTAACTCTTTTTGTGTTTAACAATAAATGCAATTTATTGAATCAATTCATACAAGTTAGTTTCTTTGTGCGTGTCAAGAAACATAACAATAATATAAGATACAAACAAAATATTTTATTCGTCTCAAATGTCTATTTGAGCTTTGACCAAGACGCTTGGTTCCGCATTGACCAGACAATTCTAAGAACGCCCGTGCTTCGGGCTTTGACAATGACATGTTCATAAAATCACGAGACTGTTCTTTTTCACTTTACTTTCTATACTAGTTTGTACTAAAAGTATCATATCCTTTTTTTAATCAATATATATTTTTACAACCATACCCAGCAAACAATTTGGTTGCGAGATGTCGCAGTTTTGTCGCCAACCGCCGGCGAAATTAGTAGACCAAATCCATATCCATCTGTG